TTCAAAAAAAATATTTGAATCTAAAAAAAGTAAGTCTAGTTAAAGAAAATTTCAAATAATAGAACAGCCGGCCCTGGGATGCTGCAAACTTTCCCCTGCTCCAGGGGGGCCTGTGTCTACCTCGCGTGTGTCTCAGAGCCCGTCCCAGCCCCCGAGGCCACCCAAGGATCCAACCCTGGCAGGGTCCACCGATCCACGGGCCCTCTGACCAGAGGACACATGTGACTTGGCTCCCGTGTGCTCCTTCAGAACTCTCCTCTCTGCTGGTGAAGGCCAGTGAAGACCCCGCTGGTCTCCGAGGTCCCCCAACCCCAGGGGTTTTCCCAATGGCTCTGAACACGTGTTGAGATTTGAGGCCATGCCTTGACTTCTATGCCCTGGGACCAAGCCCCTTGGGCATTTGAGTGACACTGCTGAGTGGCAGCTCCAGGTGTGTCAAATGCATGTAGGGGAAGGAAACACGCCTAGACAGCCCTCCCCAAACGGCCTTGCAGTTAGAGAACAGGACAAGCCGTCCCTCCCTGGTGCTGCATCCTGCACCGACTCCCTCAAGCAGACCCTAATCAGGAAGGACGGCTGCCTTCCACCCCGGGACTGGAAGAAAGCCTGGAAATTTTCTTCGTCGCGAAGTCTCCAGCCCCGAGAACCATCGGAACCGTCGCGAGAATGAGCAGAAAATAGCAGATGATAAATTTTTTAGGACCCCCCTCTGCGTGCCAGTTGTCGCAGACTGTGAGATAATGTGCTGGCCTTTTTGGGAACATGCATTATTGATCTGGGTCTGTCTAGTGAGTTATAAAAAGCCCCCCCTGCCTCCAATGCCACCTTCCCATCCCTCGCCTCCTGGAGGAAGGCAGCCTCCTTCAGAAGCCAGTCCTGCCATTGGAGGGGCCGGCTCTTGAGCGGAAGGGAGGATAAGCAGGCACCGATCTATGCAAGTTAGCGCTTTGAGGTGGGAGCTGACAGATGCCACGGAAAACCAGGGCAAACCTACCATCCACCGTATCCGCTTCCTGAAATTTATCTTTCAGAAACACTTTCTGTCTTTGGGTGTGCAAAGACGTGTGTAAAAAGACTCTTCTGGCAGTGTGAAAAAACACACAAGCTATAATAATAATAAAGGCATAATATGCTAATTAGACCAGACATCTTTCCGGACGACCTTCCGGAAGAAGCCAGAGCTTCGAGGGCTGAGCCCCGTGTAGGAATTTCGTGCACTGGGCCTCTAGTCTAGAAATAACAGCTATCCCAGGAGACTAGTTAAGCAGAGCGGTGGTTAAGACCATGGGCTCTGAGTTCAAATCCTGCTTAGCCATGTTCTAGTTGTGTGCCCTTGGACAAGAAACTTCATTTCTCTGTGCCTCTGCCCCTCTAGCTTTAAAACAAAGAGAACGGGTCTATGCATTCGAGTAAGCCATGGTTTTCTCTGCTCTCCTCTCTCTCATGTCCTCATCACACTCCCATTTCCTATATTTGCACATCCCGTTGGTTTTGAGTCACAGATGCCGACTTACAATCAGGTTCAGGCATGAGGTTCAGGTTAGAGCATGTCGCTGCAGCAAAAATGTGTTGTTCCTAAAATTCACTCCCTCATCCTGGTTCAGGCCAAAAACTTAGAAGTCATCTCGAAGCCATCTTTTCCTGAACCCCCGACCACTAACCCATCCATCACTGTCCCGTCCCTCCTTCTGCTCTGCTCCGATCCCAGCTTCCATCCTCACCTGCCCAGTCACTGCACTGGCCCCAATGGGTGTCCCCGTCTCTGCTCTTCTTCTCTGCAACCTAATTTCAACATCGAGTCAGAGGGATCCTGTTGGAACCTTAGGTAGATCATGGACCTCCCCTGCTTAAGGTCCCTGATCCATGTCTGTTTTTATTTTTATTTTTTAGATCTTTTAAAAATATATATTTTATTGATTTCATAGAGGACGGGAGAGAGATAGAAACATCACTGATGTGAGAGAATCACTGATTGGCTGCCTCCTGCACGCCCCCTACTGGGGATCGAGCCCACAACCCAGGCATGTGCCCTTGGCCAGAATCGAACCTGGGACCTTTCAGTCCGCAGGCTGACACTATCCATTGAGCTAAACCAGCTAGGGCTGATCCAGGTCTGTTTCACTAAGAATAAAACTCAAAACGTTCATCCTGCCCACAAGGTGCCTGCAACCTGGTCCCATCGACTCCTGGCCTCATGTCTCTCCATTTAGACATACCCCAGCTAGCTCCGCTACCGCCCACAACATTCCTTCTGTCCCTACCCACCCAGCTCATTCCTAACTCCGTATTTTCACCTTTCTCATTCTCTCTGCCTGCAATGACCCTTCCCCAGCCCCGGGGCTCCCAGGACAGTGCACTGCACAGCAGATGCTTAATACAGACCTGCTGAGTGCATGAAAGAGCGTTCAGGGCCCCAAATTCCCACACACAACTAGGACCAAGTCACTTGAGGGAAGACCCAGGTGCTCTGAAGCCCAGGCTCTGCAAAATTCTGCTGGAAACAGCACTCACTCCCCTATGGCTGAGTCTGCAGATGCCTGTGGTGATCAGCCACGAGGCATGCTAAACGGAGCCGGGAGATAGGGATCATGTCTGTCAATCTGTCAATAAGAGCTCCGGGCTCCGATTACTTCCTGGCGGCACTGATAAGCTCCCTGTGAAAAATCTATACTTGTGATCATTAATACAAATCATTACAAGGAGTGACTTAGATTTATATAAATCACCCTCTCTTGGCAGTTAAAGGACGGATTCATGTTTTTAATAACCAACCCCGACCCCTTTAAGAAGGGTGCAGATTTGCAGCTGGATCTTCACCACAATCTTACAGTTAGTAGCAAAGGCTTGTCCAGTGACATTGGGTTGTCCTTTGGGAGTGGGCAGAGGCTAAAGGCCAAACCCTCACCTGGTCAACTACCGGCACTCCTTACCACCACCGGGAGAGCCTCCGAGACCTGGCTCTATCCTCGCTCTCCAGTCTCATTTCCTTCACCCCTTTCCCGGCTCCAGCCACATCTGTCTCCTTGGCCCTGCCTCAGGGCCTTTGCATATGATGTTTCCTCTGCTTAGAAGGCACCCCAGCCCCACCAGATGTTTACAATACACAATGGTACCGATGATGAGAAGGAAAATCTAACTTACAGGAGAAGGAAAATGGGCAAGGCTTGTGCACTGCCCAGAACGGCTGCCACAAGCCACAGATGGCTCCGGGCACCTGAAAGTCCTAACTGAGATATGTTCTAAGTGTAAAACAATATAAAAAACGTAAAATACCTCATTAATGATTTTTTCTATTGAAGAAAATTTCTATTGATACTCCAGGTACAGTGGGTTAAATCAAATGTCATTAAAATTAATTTCACCAGTTTCTTTTTTTACTTTCCAAAAAAAAATGTAACCATTAGAAAATTTCAAATTACTTATGATATCTGCATTTTCGGGTGGCATTATAATTTCACAGGGCAGCGCTGGTGTAGGATTTACTGTAGAGAAATGGGACCGAGAAAAGCAGTACATTCAGCGGGGAAAAGACACGAGATAAGGAGAAAGGTCTCCCCGTGGGAGAGCCTCAGAGGTGACCTGCAGACAGAAATGGCGACGGAGCCGGGGAGGAGGAAGTCCAGGTGAGACTCTCTGGAGGCCTTGCTCTTGCTCTCTCCTCTTGTTGGCCTCATTTACGGGGTCTCTTTCCCATGCAAATGAAGGCACCCACAGCTTGGGTGGAAGAGACCGAGTCTTGTTTAGGAGGGCAGGGGGGATGGTCTATACAATGAACCAAAGGCCGGCCCAGGAGTGGCTGGTGAGAGGAATAAAGGGAGATGTGGAGGCCTGGAGCTGGAGAAGCCCTTGGGCACAGCCCTGGCCGGGCCAGCCACAACTGTAAATGTTCCCAAGGAGGCAAGGGCCCCTGTCCTCACCGCTCTACCCGGGGCCCACAGTGCTGCGAGGGAGGGAGCTCAGGACCAGAGGCGGCCCAGCTCGCCCTCCTGAGACAATCTCTCTGTGAGCCGGGTTGGGTCGCTGCCCATAGGGAGGGAACGCTGAGCCCACCCACGGCTGCTGACGTGGGGGGAGCAGGGGTCACACATGTATGTATGCATGTGTGTATTCACATGCACGGGAGGGCGCTTCCTTCTTCTGTTCAGGGTCAGCACAAACATCACCACCTCCGAGAGCCCTTCCCAGTTACCAATCTAAAGCAGTCCAACCATGGTCCCAACAGGCACAGCGCCCTCTTCAGTTTCAACGGAGCACTGCTCCTTCTTGAAGTTATTTAATTAACTCATTAACTAATTAACTAATTAATTTTCTAAGCCCTGGCTTTGACCCTGGCCTGAGCGCTGGGCACAGAAGCTCCGGCAGGAGAGCGGGTGTGACAGGGCAGGACAAAGCCTCGCCTCCGCCGGGAAGGCCCAGAATGACACGGGCTCCAACGGGTTTCTGTTCCTCTTCCCAGCTGTGGAGCCCCCTTCAGTCTCTTCATTTAAAAATACTACAAAGCGGCTACTATGACAACACACACAGGCTTATCTAATGAATAGTGCGTGTGAAGGGCTTTACAAAATATCCAGCACCGTAAGACCCAAGGAACCACAGCCACCGCGTTATTTTACACGTGAGCCTGCAGTGGCCCTGATGATCTGTCTCCCTCCCTCCAAGGGAGCGGGCACTGTGCCTCCCTCACGCACTCCTGAAGCTCCGGGCCCTGGGGCCATGCCTGGCACATGGCAGGTCCTCAACAGAAACCAGAGGAAAATACGAACTGGTCTTAACATGGCTTCTTCAGAAGAGTGTGGAGGAACCCAGGAAGGTTCTGCATTAGGAAAAGGCTGGAGACCTCTCCCCTTGAGAGTCCACAGGGGTGGGCCACCCCTGTGACTTGGTTAAGTCCTCTACAAGTGACCTCTACAGTGTGACGTGAGCACCTTGGGCCGGGAGCCTTAGCCCAGCAGATGGCCCTGGGGCCCCGGGCAGGTGCCACCCGCCGGCCGGGTGCTTACCGAGCTCCACGTCCTGGTCGTCTGTGAGCACCAGGATGATGTTGGGGCGGATGTTCCGGCGGTCCCTCTGGAACCGGCCTTTCAGGCGGTGGTGCGACAGGAAGGCGGAGCTCCCACCCAGCAGGGGGAGGACAGAGGCGGAGAGCAGGCACAGCAGGAGGCCGGGGCGGGCCATCTTATGTCTCTGCTGGTCTGTGGCTTCTCGCAGGAGGCGGGAGTCTGGAGCAGCGCCTGGCAGACTTGCTTCTTTGCCCTCTTCCCCCTCGGCTCACGGATCTGAAGGAGCAGGAAGAGAAGCAGGTCAGTCTTGCTGTACGGCTGCAGCCGCTCAGGCTTGCATAATGAGGCGCACGATGGCCTCGGGCATGGACAAGGACAGTTTATCTGATCGGGGCGGCTCTGGCCGAGCAAACATCTAAGGCGGCTCCAGCGACAAGGAAAGTTATTTGCAATTTGCTCAGGCAACGAATGGGCTGGTGGGGGAGCCTGCAGGGACCACTTCTGCAGCCAGAACTGTCCCCTGGGCCCCCGGGTGGCAGGGTGTGCTGGTGGCAGCTCCAGCCCCACATCCGATGGCCAGCCGGTCACACTGAACCACACAACCACTTCCACAGGCAGAGCAGCTCCAGAGGAAGGAAGGAAGCAGCCCGCTTCGGGGAGCAGATAGTTCTGGCCATCCCTCCTCGGCGGGCAGACGGAGGCGGCTGTGGCCGGCTCCCCAGCAGCCGGAGGCTCAGAGAGAGGCTGGGACAGCAGGCCGAGATGCTGGGCGGGACGACTCCCCATGCCGCAGCCCCAACTCCGTCACTCGGCAGCTCGGCTTCCCCGTCAGTAAGCCGGTGGGGAGCGGGGAAGACACGGCTGTTATTGGAACCTGATGCAGGCGGGCTGTGTGCGGAGGCCCCCTGCCAACACCAGAGCTGGGCAAGCTATTCCTATTAGTTTTCGGTGGCAGGATAAACAGAATGACAGAAGAGCTGTCACATTCCACTGTGACCTCAGTCACCCCCCCATCCCACCACACCCCAGATCAGGTCACACGCAAAGCTGGGGGCCGGGCAGTGGGAGGGTGAGCTTGGCTCAGGCGGGTCTCTGCGGTCATTTTTCTATTTCTTGAGGAAATGAGCCTTTAAGTCCTGTCCAGATAGAGACTTTCGGTCTCATTTATTTAGGGAGAGCGAGAGAGCGAGAGCGAGAGCGAGAGCGAGAGCGAGAGCGAGAGCGAGAGCGAGAGAGAGAGAGAGAGAGAGAGAGAGAGAGAGTGTGTGTGTGAGAGAGAGAGAGAGAGAGAGAGAGAGAGAGAGAGAGAGAGAGAGAGAGAGAAAGCGAGCACGCAAACAGATATGTTGAGAGGAAACCATGCTTGATGGAGCCAGGCTGAGTCACTGCCCTTGTGACCTCGAAGGACCATGGGGAACCCCATCCCAAAGCCCAGGCTCAGGAAGCTTGGCAAGGGCCCTGGTTTCCGCAGGGTGGAATGCTGCCTTGTTTCTCCTCGGGACTACCAAAGCCTCTTAAGGGGTCTCCTCCCTGTCCCCACCCTTGGCCCCCTCCCGTTATCCCCAGGACAGCCAGTTTGAGTCTCCGAAAACTGGAATCAGGTCTTACCACTCAGTGAGGCACTCGTGGACAAAACTGAAGGGGCACCCACGCCAGGGTGCACAAGTGCAAGGCACTCATCTCACCCGTGACCCCGTCACTTTCTTGCTCACACCCTCCCCTGGCTTCTCAGGGCTCAGGCAATAAAATGCAAACTCCCGACCAGGGTCACTGGGGCCCATGTGACCCGGCCCCTGCCCACCTCTCCCCCTTCATCCCAATTGCTCTCCGGCCCCACTGGCTTCTCACTGTTGTTTGGACAAGTCAAGCTTGTTCCTGCCCCAGGGCCTTTGCACTTGCTCTTCCTGAAACCTGGAAGAGTCTTCCCCCAGGTTTTGTACGATGGGTTCATTCACCTCTGACGAGTCTTGGCACAGATGTCACCTTCTCGGAGAGGCTGCACTGATCCAAAGTGGTGCCTGCCCCCGCCCGAGGCATCCTCTGTACTGTATAACCTGTTATATTTCCCCAAATCCCTACAACAACCGGCAACTGCCTTTTTTATTGCCCATTACCGCCCCCCCCCCCCCCCGTCCCCACTCTCATGGAGCTGGGAATGGGTGCAGGGCACCTGGGTTGATCTTCTTAGCAACCCCTGCCCCCCTTTCTGGGCAGCAAGAGCCCACCCGTCAGGATGCTCCCGCTCTGGATGGGAGTCAAAGCTCTGCGACCAGAGAACAGGAGTGGATTATTTCATCAGAGCAAGTCGTCAATGGGCCGATTTTTGATGAATTCCCCGGCTCCGACTTCCCCTGGCCGTGTGCCCGTCTCTCTCTCTCCAGATGCCGAAGGAATCAATGAAAAGTGACACAAGGGATTCTGCCTCCATTTTTCTCCTTCCCGGTAAAAGATCCTCCCTCTCATCCCACCAGCCTGTGGGAGGCGGGGTCCATCCAGCCCCTCCCCTTCCCTTCCCCAGGGGTTTTCTCACAGAAAACCTTCTGCCCGGACCGGGATGCCATCTCCGGAAACGCCTAACGCCCCGAGTGTTCGGAAACATCGCCCTGCTTCTGGATCTATCTGCCCGTCTGCAGAGAGGAGCAGGTCTGAGGGTGACCGACAACCCCCAGCCCTGCATGCCACAGCTTTGGGGGACAGCTGGGAGCTCCCCCAGGGCTGCCCAGGAAGACTCGGAGAGCTGTTGTCCTCTGAGGACCCCGGAATCCAACCGGACTAGTCAGGAGGAGGAGGGAGATGACCAGGCAGCTGAGGGGGTGGGAGAGGAAGTGGCCAGCGGCAGAACAAGGCATTGGCCAGGCAGAACTCACCCGGGAGGTGGTAAGAAAGGAATGTGTGGGGCGTGCGGAGACGCCTTGTACAGACGGAGAGACCCTCCTCGGTGGTCCAGACAGGCCTTCCTTCATTTACGTTACAAATACTGGTTTAGGGCCAACTATGCATGAGGCACAGTGTCAGGTCGTAGGATAATCCTGGCTGGGTTATTACAGCCTCCTAACTGGTTTCCCTGCTTCCACCCTCATCTCCTTCCATCCAGCAGCCAGAAGGAACTGCCTGTTTTTTGTTTTTTTAATATATTTTATTGATTTTACACAGAGAGGAATTGAGAGGGACAGAGAGTTAGAAACGTCGATGAGAGAGAAACATCGACCAGCTGCCTCTTGCACAGCCCCCACTGGGGATGTGCCCGCAACCAAGGTACATGCCCTTGACCAGAATCGAACCCGGGACCTTTCAGTCTGCAGGCCGACGCTCTACCACTGAGCCAAACCGGTCCCGGCAGGAACTGCCTGTTAAAAGAGGCCGTCTTCCTCCCCTGCAAAGCCTTCCAGGGCTTCCATCTTGTGCAGAATAAGCCCCTCAGACCCTCCAGAAGGCGGACAAGATTATACACGGTTGGCTCCATCCCCTCTCTGACTTCATCACCTTTTACTTTCCTCCCTGCCTACTCAGCACTAGCCTCCATGATGTTCCTCAAAACATGCCACCCCAGGGCCTTTGCACATGCTGCTCCCGGCACTGCCCAGGGCCCTCACCCAGGTGTCTCCATGGCCCCTTCCTCACCTCCTTGAGGTGAAAACTGAAATCTCTTGCCTCCCCAGGAGCATTAGCAACTTCTGACTAAATATTTTCTTTCTTTCTGGCTTTCCTAGACTAAAGCATTAGCTTCCTAAGGGCAGAGACTTTTGTCCATTTTGTTCACATCTGGTTCCTGTATCACCAATACCTAGAGCAGTGCTTAAGATAGCAGATACTCAAGATATTTACTGACTCAGCAAACATGTTCTCCCTCCTGGTTATGGTACTCCCGTTGTGATTGGGGGCATTGCCGCCCCCTTATTCCGATAATGTACAGTTTGAATGTAGGGTGGATCCAATCAGCACATTCCATCTCTCTAGCTCCCGCGATTGGCCCAGAGATAGACATGTGACCAAGGCCTGACCAACCAGAGGGAGGGAAGAAATTACAGAGTGGGCTGCTGGGTGCTGACAAGGGGGCGAACCCAGCCTGGGTACCCACTGGAGCCTGAGAGGGGATGCTGGTGACACGAGGCTGAACCAAGTAGCCAGCACAGACTGGAACAAGTGGCCCTTGTTGCTTCAGCTTGTCTGAGCTGGGGCTGTCCTTTACAAAAGGAAGCATCCAGACTTACACAATCAACTTCCAAATATATTGGTGAAGAAGAAAAACTAAAATTTACGGTGTGTTTTTCTTGGGCTCTGCCCCGTTTTCAGCGCTTTTCCAGTGCTAACTCACGTCACCCTCACAGCAACATTATGAGTAGCAGATGAGCAGGCGGAGGCATGGAGCGGGCCAGGAACGGGCCCAAGGTCGCACTGTGGGAGGCAGTGAGACAGACACGAGCAGAGCAAGGACCAGGGGCCAGATACAGGTCACCAGGCCCGAGAACCCTGGGTATCTAGCAAAGGACAATCAGCTGGTTGGGTGGAAACTTGCTCCTGGGTGACCTTCCTTCCCCTAGTATAGGGGTGTCGAACTCAATCAGAGAAGGGGCCAAAATCTAAAATCCAGCCTAAATCGCGGGCCGAATGGTTTACTGAACAGTCATAAACTGTCATTGTGATGGAAACGCAGCGGAGTGCAGTGATGACAGCGCGGTGCGGGCCACATTGCAAGGCCTGGCGGGACGAATTTGGCCCGCGGGCCTTGTGTTTGACACATGTGCCCTAGTACATCATATGGACGGTCACGAGGCTTGGACCCCCTGACCTTTCCTCCCCGGAGATAACATGTAGATCTTGGCTGTAGTTCAGCTCCAGGCCCAGATAAGCAGCCAAACCAGACAAGAGACACCGAGGCTGACCTCAGCACCAGCTGCACTGGACAATGACCCCTGCCCTGGTGCCGACCAGTCCGTCAGGAGAGACCTAAAAGGTAAAAGGATTCAGCTGGAAAGCTGCTGAAGAGTCTACTGAGATCTTCTCCTGGGCCCTCCCCTAAAATCTCCGCCCTTAAAACCCTCAGAAGGGAAGACCCAGCTTGCCTTCCCTCCTAGGTTAGCGCAAAGCCTTTCTCTCCCCTCCAGCCCTCCCTGTCCCTCCCACCCTCCAAGCGTGTCTCCTTTGTCTTCCTCACTTCGAAGCTCCAAGGGCCCTTCCTTAGCTGCTGCAACTTGTTTCCTAAGCTTGCTTTTTCTCCAAATTACTTCTTCCACCTCTGTGATTTTATAAATAAACTGGAGGCCCGATGCACGAAT